CTCAGCCAACCCTGCCCAGACAACCAACTCGCTCTCTCCTTCAGAAAGGCACAAGGGATTTTTTGTTAAAATATATTTTTCTTGATTGCAGAGAGGAAGGGAGGAGGAGAGAGATAGCAACTTCAATGATGAGAGGGAATCATTAATCTGCTGCCTCCTGCACACCCCCTCCTGGGGACCGAGCACGCAACCCGGGCATGTGCCCTTGACTGGATTCGAACCCAGGACCCTTCAGTCCATAGGCCGACACTCTATCCACTGAGCCACACCAGCCAGGGCCCATGTGCTCCCTTTAATAAAGTCCTCCGTCTGCAGTGCCGGCTGCCCCTTCGCACTGACCCTCCGGATTGGGGCCCCCTGGCCTCGTGGGTGGGAGAGGTTTGAACAGCTGGGAGCTGGCTGGGGTCACCTTGCTGGCAGGCCCTGGCAGCCAGTCCCACAGGGTTAGGGCCAGGTGACACTGGAAAGCTGGTGAATATTCTAGCGAGGGCCTCCCCGAGACCACCACTGGGGTTCCCGCTGCAGGAGAGCTAGCACGGCGCTCCCTCCTCTCTCTCTAGAGCAGGCCCACCCCGTCTCCCTGGCTCTTGTATCTCCACTCTCCTTCCCCGAAGCTCTGAGGGTCCCCACAAGACTCAAGACCAGGAGAGCAGTGGGCGGTGGGGGCAGCTGTCCGGGCTCACCTGTCTGGCTTCGCTGCCTGTGCAGTGAGACGGGGCAGCCCTGCCTCGGCCTCGGCACTTCCGTCTGGTAACCTTCCCGGCAGTGGGGCAGGCAGCCAGCCGGGCTCCCTCCCTCCTGTCGTTTCCAGGGAGTCGAGCACCCACCTGGGCTCTCCCCTGAGCCCTCCCTTCCTCCAGCGCCCCAGCTTCAATAAACCTCGGATCAAAACCACTGGCCCCACGTCGTGAACACTTTCCTGCGTGGAGTCAAGAACCCACATTACCGGCCAGCGAGTGCGGACCAGGGACCCCTCCCAGGGGTCCTCTCACCACCTGAGCCCCAAACCCAAACAAGGGGGCCACTCCTCCCCATGGCGCTGTGAGGATGCGCAGGGCGGAGCTCTGGAGCCAGGAAATCTGGGAGCTCCAGCCCCTCCTGCGTCTGCCAGCCCCAGCACAGCCCCAGGGGAGAGCCGTGACACCCCCCCCACCCTGTGCAGTGGGGCTCAGGGGGAGGGTGTGGGGAGGGGTGCCCGCCCTGCTGGCCTGTCCCGGTGCCAGGGCGCCCCGCACCCGTTTCACACTGCTTTGCAAACATTTTTCACTTTCCTTTTGGCAATCAGTTCACACTTACAAAGAAGTTTCAAAAATAGCTTCCCCAGCTTCCTCAGGCTACCTCCTTACAGGACCGGTACAGGCAAAGCACCGGACGCCACTCTCACTGACCCGGGCACCAGCGTGTTCACAGCACCCACTGTCCGCTGCAGCCTCGCCTGGGGTCCAGAGCCCGCCTGGAGCTGGCACCTCACCTGGGACGGCCCCGCCCACCGCCCAGGGCTCCCGTCCAGGGCGTCCACCTGATCACCCATCACCGCTCCCATCTTGAGTCTTGACCCTTGGCACCCACTTGGGTCACCTGTGTGTTTGTGAACTACCAGTGCCCGGGGCTCCAGGTGCTGCCAGAGCTAGGTCTCGAGTACCCTCTGCAGCCCCCCACATCTGAGGGGCCCGTAGGCACAGGCCTGCCCAGCCATGGCCTCCAGAGAGCTGGCTGACCAGTCCAGTGGGCCTTCCTCTCAGCCCCAGATTTGGTGTCTGTCCTGCTGGACCTGCTGCACAGCTGGCTTTTCTGTGGAGTGGGTGGTGACTGCACCTCTCTCCACGGCCAGGGCTGGTCACACCTGGTCACACCTGGCAGAGACGCACACAGAGAGGCAGGGAGCACAGTACATGGATGAGGCTGTATGCAATGTGGGGTGTGTGCATGTGTGGGGCGTGTGCATGTGTGTGGGGTGTGCATGTGTGGGGTTGTGCATGTGTGAGGCGTGTGCATGTGTGTGGGGTGTGCATGTGTGAGGGTTGTGCATGTGTGGGGGTTGTGCATGTGTGGGTTGTGCATGTGTGGGGGTGTGCATGTGTGGGGTGTGC